AGCCGGAGCATTCAGGTACATAGGGAAGATCAATGTCGAAGCCATGCATGGTCAAGTGCCTGGACATTGCTTTGAATGTTGTTTCAACGTTGGTGTGGATCTTGTACTCCCTGAAAAGCCTCTTTGTATTTCTCGAGAGCTTCGTGACGCGAAATGGGGGCATGTTGGCAACGAAGATCCATGCCTTGTCTGTCTGGGCAAGAAGATGCGCCTGTAGTAGCTGTCTTAGCACGCGGACGCAAAGCAACCTTTTAGAAAAGGGAAACCTCGATATGGCCGATTATCAGGTGGGAGGCAGGAGAGGACTGACATGAGCCCAGAATGCCGTAACTGAAGAGCAGAGGCATCTTGACATGACAGTCGACCTCTTCATCTTGGGGTTGTTGCTGGCTGAGTTGAAGATGTCCAGTATGCGATCCATGGTAGGCAGTGTGGACGACAAGACTTGGACGTGCAGGAGATTTCTTGAGGAGAGCCGGCAATGTAACGGAGGTGTGCCACAGGGGAAAGTTGCCGGTGGGGGAGGACCTAAAGGACGCCTCCAGAGAACGGTGAATGATGGAGACGACGACGATGGCTAATATACCGACACTGCCATGCAGCACAAACGCCATTTTTGCATCATCGCAGCCCTATCACTCCGACACCAGTTAGTATTAGCCTTGATGTCTCGATACGTGTATGCAGGCGTCCTCTTACCTGCAAGCACACACCAAGACATGAAGAGGGGATGAAGCGGCAGCTGTCGCTGAGGAGGGGCAGCGGCTTGCCCGGGCTGCCCTGGTCAATAGCTCGACCAGGTGGATCACGGGGAGTAAAGGCAGATAAATGAAGCAGCCTTCATCTTGTCGATTGGCTTTTAGACATTTCGTAAGTAGCGTCTGCCGTTGAGTGGTAGCTGTGTAGCCGCATGAAGGAACGATTGTCTAGGTGCTTCTACTGTATAGGTAGAGCGGGACTGCTGCCGTGCCATGGTGATTGCGGCGTCGGTGTGATTCGAGCCGCTCCATTGGTACGATGACTAGTCTGCTGATTGGGACGCCGAAAAGGTGCCCGTGTGGCAGGGCAGTACAGTGAAGCAAAGACTTGAAGATCGGCTCTGTGTGGGAGATGCTTGATAAGAGATGGAAGACAGGCAAGACGATGCAGTCGTCGACAGGGGACGGCATCTGGCCAGGCTAGCCATTGGCTGGTGGTGCTGAGGAGGAGTGCCGCCGTACAGTAGTGCAGTGGGGATGGCTTGCGTTGATTTAGTGTTGACGCCAAAGCAGCGCCGCTTGGTATGTAGTAGTAGGTAGTAGGCTTGATGAACAGCGATGATACGACCATTGTTGGTGGTGCGAGGAACAAGAACGCTCGAGAGAAAGACAATGAAGATTTTGAGTTGAACTTGGAGGATTTCTCGAAGTCCCAGGTAGATGATAGGTAAAGTGAAGGAAGGGCCGGTGAGACCAAAGTTTACATTGCGGAGGGAAGGTTAGAACCGACGTATCTCGTACCTACCAAGGTTTTGCTGATGTCATTGCGAAGGCAGGCACGCATCGCGATGCGACTGGAGGAGGCAGCGAATTGGGTTTAGCAAGGTAAGGAGGTAGGTACGGAAGAGACAGAACGGAGTGAGGAAGGAGCTCAGCTCGGCTCCGTAGCGTGAGGGGTACCGCCAATGCCATGAAGCTTCTTGGAAGTGTGTGTGTCGGGTGTCGGAAGCTGGCATACAGACCTTGGGTATGTGAGGATGATGGCGAGAGATTAGTAGGTAGACAGAGCGAGAGAGAGCGAGGCAAAACGTGTAAAGGGAAAAGAGGTTGGATTGGCCTTGTTCGTGTAGCCATGCCATGAACTACAGTAGAGATGGTTCTGTAGCAGCCCGTGAGAAACCGACTGTAGCCTTGTGAGACGACTTTCCAGGCTGATGAAGGATGGACACAGCTGAATTACGTGCCGTCATACCTGATTCCAACGTTTTCGTGTCTCCAGAGCCTTTCCCGTCTTTTTGATGTTCTTCCAGTTCATTTCGTGTCTTCTTTTTGCACAGGTAGCGATAGAAAACGTGTGCGTTCGTAGACGTGCTGATACGCCAAATCGATCTCCGCACAAAGCATGCCGGCGATAAATGGCTGGTCATTTCTGACACCCATGTCGAGGACAGGACAGCAATAATGCCCCTCTACTTGCTCTCTCGTGGTCTAGAAGCTGGTCCCGTCCTCGTGCCGTCTCACGGAGCACTACCCACCTAGGTAGAAGATGGCTTGCTCTCCTGCCGCGCCACGAGGTTACCAAGAGTCGAACTGGCCAACGCTGGGTTCACCCACCACTTGCCTCACAGCCAAATGAGCCGGCGCTGCTAAGCGGACGGAGCCGATTGGTAAGATTGTGTAGCGTCCTTGTCTTCGTCCCAGACTCTGCAGGTGGCGTGCTGGCAAGCAACTACTCGTAGTACTACTATACTAGTAGCAGCATGAGAACAAGACCAAGCATGCAGGCATTGTAGCAGAACATGCGTGCATGAGGAGTCTGCTGAGGATTGGGAACACACAAGATATTAGCCGGAGAAGTCGTTCTTGTGATCACTTGGAGGATGACCTCTGTTGGGGTTCCTTTGTGGGTTTGGCGATGCTTGAGCATGCGTATGTACTGGTAACGCTCCGATGATGCATGGCCCTCTTCCAGCCAGGATCCCGTTCGAGGCATCCACTTTTTGCCGTCGGCCGCCGCCCCGATTCCCGGAAGAAGCCACCGGAGCTGTTGTGTTTCTTTCGACACAGGGGGGCTTCTCTTTCGAGCTGCTCGAATGCTCGGCCGTAAAAGGACTGGGCCAAATATCAGGATGATTGAGGCAGCCAGTCTCTACTGCCGTAGGTAGTAGTACTGCTCGATAACCTCTGTGAGGTAGGTATAACGTAAGTCTGTAGATGTACGCAGTATGGTACTCTGACGGAAACACCCCCTCTCCCGTCACAGATGGAGACAGAAGTGGAGCGATGCCCGCGATGCTGCAGTACATAATCGAAGGGCTGTCAGACTTCGCACTTAGAGGTAGCAGCCATGAAATCTGCGAAGGGGGGAATCGAACGAATGATGCCGGATGGCTGGAGAGCGGGAGCTCCACTTTTGAGGTGTCGATTGGAGGTGCTTGACACCTCCGGGGAAGCCTGCAATGCCGTCCGTCCGGTGGGTCGATGCTGATGTTTGATAATGAGGTTGCCGCAGCCTTGCCCCTCTTGTGTGCTTTCTTTCCTTCTCTTACTATCTTGATCATGATTCATGTACTGGAACGCTTGGAGGACACAGTTCAGCATCTACTACGTCAGATACTTGACACTGGTCGATTGTCGCCGGTCTTTTTCTCAAGCATCAGGTAGTAGTGCCTTGGTCTCAGAGGACGGGCAGATGGGGGCGGAAAGCTGGTTCCCGTGATACCGGTCGGGTAGAAGAGGAGGCTTGGAAAGTCGATGACGGGAGTCTAGACGTACCTTATGTGCGCTGAGACAGAGTGATGCATGTGAGAGCAGGTTGTACTGAAGGTACGGAAGAGACGATAGTGCCAGGCGGAGAAACTGCACCTACTATAGGTACCCGACGAGGGATCTACAGGTCATGAGTACCTATGCGAATGATTTATCGCTGCTGCTGCACCATTACCTACAGGCTTTAAGGTTTTGACTGCGTGCCCACGAGAGGTGCCAACCTGGCATGTATCCTTACCATGCTCTCCGTATGGGTAGTATGCGGGTAGGTATGCAAAGAGGTGAAACAACGACGTCATGCGTAGTCCGTTGAAGCAACAGGAAGCTGCATGTAGTAACTCCCACGGTAATTATCCAATCTGTTCTTGCCTCGGCCAGGTCTTGCCGCGGGTTGCCATTGCTTCTCTAATTTACTAATCATATGGCCCAGTGGGCTTAGAGACGGCAAGTGCGGAAGGCAGTAGCTAGTACGTGCAGTTGAGCAGAAATCACTGGCAGATGCACCTACTATGGAAGATAGTATCTCGATCTACTTGTACCTTGCCTTATAATCCGGGGCAAAGGAGAAGCGTCGCAAACGGACACGTTCCCCGGTGGCCCGAGGGCTGCCTCGGCCAGCGGCGGGTCGACGGGAATCGAAGCACTCAGGGCACCTGTGAGGAACGGTTCCAAGGAAAACAGACTAGGTGGGCCAAGGGCGCTGTAACATGAAGGTATCGATAAGGTAAGCAGCGCCCCGCTGTAGAGACCCCAAGTAGTACCCCATACCCTTCCATTGTTAGCGAGGCTTTTAGCGCTGAGAAGGTGTTCGAACGCTTGGAAGTCGAGGGACCCGCGCACCAGCCAAACAGGGGGCCTCTCCACGCTTCAGTGGGCGGGCGACAGCCCGAGTACGAATACCAGCCGCCACCAGCCGGGCGCCATCGTGTCGACTGGCATGGCAGCAGCCAAAGCTGTTTCTTGATCGATTAAAAGGTAGTGGTACGAATCATAGTAGCATGCTTACCTTGCTTCGTACTTGATTCCTGAAACCTGGGGGCGTGCAACAATACCTGGTAATATTGATTGGACGGGTGTACAAGAAGAAACATTGAGAGCGGCTGCCAGACTGCTTGCGGCAATCTTTATTAGTAGGTAGGTAGTACTAAGCTCCTGTACCAGTTTGTGCGGCGTAGATTCAATACTTTGAGCTTCCATTTCCCCAAAGCCGAGCGAGCGAGCAACCGTCTTTGTCTAATACCTTCCCATTGCTCGCCTCACTAATCTGGCTCTTTCCTTCTTTTGTTCCAATAAGAAACAACACGAGACAAGAGCGACAAGGAGAGAAGAAAAAAAAAAATAACACGGAAGCCGACAATGACGCCCTCAGTCGCGACCGAGGAGTCCTCTCCGGCTGCCCCGCCAAACCAAAATTACAACCACAACCACAACCACACGAACAACCACCAGCAGCGGCAGCGGCAGCGCCATGACGAGCACGACGGCGCCGACGACGACGAGCAGCAACGACGCATAGCGAAGCGGCCACGAACCATGACGTCGACCGAGGACATTGACAGCACCATCACCCGCCCCGGCAGCGTCAAGATCAACGTCACGGGCGCCTTCATCGTCGACCCGGACGCCTCAACGCCGACGCAGGCCAGCGACAATGGAAGAGTCAGCCCGTCGCATCACGAGACGAGCGACATTCGGCTGCCAAACCACACGGCCGTCGTGAGCCATATTGCAGTAGATGTAGGCGCAATTCCCCCTTTGCCTCTCCCAGCTGCTCCCCAGAATTGATTGCAATGGATTGTCCCTCTCTGACCACAATTGCGTTTCCGATTTGGTGTAGATTGGCGGCTCTCTGGTCAAGCTCGTCTACTTTTCCCGCGAGGTCGATTCCACAGACCCCGGAGGTCGCCTCAACTTCCAATACTTCGAGACGGATCGCATCGACGATTGCATCCAGTTCATGAAGCTGCTGCGCGACAAGCACAAGGCGCTCAACGGGTCCCGATCGCAGGAGCTGTGCGTCATGGCTACCGGCGGCGGCGCATACAAGTTCTACGACCGGATCCGGGAGGAATTGGAGGTCGAGGTCTTGCGAGAAGACGAAATGGAATGCCTCATAGTTGGTAAGAGAGAGGAACAGCCATGAGGTCTACCTGGTCTGGGCAGAGGAATCAATACTGACACCATGCGAACAAATTAGGGCTTGACTTCTTCATCACAGAAATTCCCCGCGAAGTCTTCACTTACTCCGAAGCAGACCCCATGCACTTTGTCAGTCCTCGCGAAGTCATCTACCCGTATCTGCTCGTCAACATTGGCTCCGGTGTTTCGATGCTCAAGGTCACGGGGCCCCGGTCCTTCCAACGAGTCGGCGGCACGTCGCTCGGCGGCGGCACCCTCTGGGGGCTTCTCTCCCTCTTGACCGGCGCGCGGTCATTCGACGAAATGCTGGCCGAGGCTGAGCACGGCGACAACACCAAGGTGGACATGATGGTGGGAGACATCTACGGTGCCGACTACAGCAAGATTGGGCTCAAGAGCACGGCCATTGCCTCGTCCTTTGGCAAGGTATTCCGCATGAAGCTGCAGAACGAGGCCTCGCAAGCTGCTGCCGCAGCGGCGGGCGATGCGGGGCACGACGATACCCAGCACAGCCATTCCTTCTCCTCGGCCGACATTTCGAGATCGCTGCTGTACGCCGTGTCCAACAACATTGGCCAAATCGCCTATCTGCAGTCTCAGATCCACAACCTCTCCGACATTTACTTTGGCGGCTCCTTCATCCGGGGCCACCGCCAGACGATGAACACGCTGAGCTACGCCATCAAGTTCTGGAGCAAGGGCGAGAAGCAGGCGTACTTCCTGCGGCACGAAGGTTACCTGGGCGCTGTCGGCGCCTTTCTCAAGAGGCAGCCCGCGAACTGGGGTCGCAGAGCGAGCCTCGAGGGTGCCGACGATATCCAGGAATGGCGAAGGTCGCTGAGGACTGGATCCAGGGATGAGAGTACGACCAAGGAATAGGAAAGCAAAGTGGAGAGTAGGAGGATTTCCTCTACTCTGTATTTTTCCCATGCTTTTCGAGTTATTCATTTTCATGGCCCCATGTCTTGGCCATAGGCGAGCATGAGATAGATCTTTTCGGGGCATTTGCATTTCGGGGTGGGGTGTTTGGCACTATTCTTCCATTTTTTTTTTCATGATTCGTTTCTTCTCTCTGCCTATCCTGTTCTTCTCCCGTTCCTCCTCTATCTTCTTTTTTTTTTTTTTTCCTTTTTTTCTTCTTCCCTTTATACTATTGCTACGGCTAATGCGAGAGCACAAGAGGCATTGTTGGTGTTCAAAAGGAAAGAAACCGGGGTGAGACCCCCCCAAATCTGTATAACAACGATCTTGTAATTATCTTAGTACTACGTTACTTGTTTTTGATAGAGTTGATATAATAGGAATGCGCACAATCGCACTTGGGAGAGCCAAGGCACCAATTTCCGAAGTCCATATCAGATCTCAGGTTCCCATACTTGTGCGATACCGTGCCGTGCCGTGCCGTAATTGGAAAGGCGCCCGTATTCGCATCGTATTCGCATGAAGGACAATATCCCGAATGAAAGTAACTTAAATCCATCTTACAGATTGATGTCGAGATCAGCATTGAAAGCGACAGACTAGGCAGCGGTGTGTGTTCTATTTCCCTCAAGAAATCTCCCGATATGTATTGTACAGGTAACGCCCAAAAGCACTCCTCAGCGCAGTTCGACTTTTCATCTGAATGCTTCCTATGCATAATGACAGCCATGCGTAGAACATGCGGGCATCCAGTGACGCCCGGTATCAACAGGTAGTCGTTGAAATGGCATGCCATGATCATCATGATTCATTTTCTTCCACGCCCCGAAATGCTCTTCTTTCCATCCCTCATCTAGAAGAATGTGACGCCATTTTCTATGTTCCAAGCAAACATAATAGCGAGAAGAGCTTTTTCATCGAGACTGGGAATTGTTCCGGCTTCATTTCCCAGCCTCGCTCTTCTCATTGGCCTTCTCTTGGCTCTGTACAGAGGCCTTGTCCATCCCCAGCTTGGCCATCAAGTTGTCCATCATCTGCTCAAACTCCTTCTCGTCCTCGGCGCTGACCTCGCCCCCAGGCCTCTGCAGCGCCGCCCTCGTCTTCTCCCGCAGCTCCTGCACAGAGCTCAAGTCAAACGCCCACGACAAGCCCCCCGTCAGCAGCACCGCAAAGCTCGCCACGTTGAGCGTGGCCAGCCCCAGCGCGTGGACACCCAGCACGGCGCCCTCGGAGCTGTTGCCGTCCTGCGGGCCGGGGCTGTTGGACGAGTAGAACCGGGGGAAGGAATCGCGCTGGCGACGGATCACCGAGCGGCGGGATACGCCTATTGATGCGGCGGTGAAGGCGGCGCCGAGGAAGAAGAGGCTGAACTGCTTGAGGGGGCGGGACCACGAGGCTGAGTATGCGTTGATGTCTGGCTGGCGCCGGATTGACTGAGGTTGTGAGGGAGCCTCTTGGGGCGAGGCTGGGGAGGGTCCTTGGGACATGGTGGGATGCGGTGTGCTGACGGTTTGGCTCAGTAGAGCATGGTTGATTGTTTCTTCCGTGTTCCCCCCTCACTTCGATTGGCTCAATATTGGGTCAAATTTGATATGTTTTCCTCCTTCTTCTTGCAAAGTCCTGCCCGTTTGATGTTGAGTGGTTGTGCTCTCTGAGATTGAATTTTGATAGAAGCAATTTTCGGCTGGTAGTGCATATCCGCCACATCTTATCACTGTAGGCGTCAGCCGTCCGGCTCGGATAACTGCACTGCACACTAGTAACGCCTTTGCCGTCTCTGAAGGACTCGCTCAGAATGAAGCATGGAATACTCTTGACTACACACTCGATTCCCAGCCTGGATGCCGACACCTTGATAGATTGCATCTGTACTCACTCCAAATTCTGTATCAAAGCCTTCCAACCCATACATTTAGCGCTGGTCGGCAGCTCCGAATCATCAACCGACAAGAGCCACAGAGTCAACAATCGCAGTCTGGACTCGGTCATTTACACCCGACCCTTTATACAACCTCAAGGCACTGCCGCAACTCATCAATACCCGGCAGCCCTTTTGACAACATCCTCCTATACAATGCCCAAACCCAAATCCAAAACGTCAGCAACGCCCCAAGCACCCCCTCCAGCCGCAGCTCCATCATGGCCCGCCTTCAAACCCCCTCTTCCCGTCGTCGAGCTCTACCCCGAAGTCCATCCCGCAACTGACAACATTGTCCTCTTGTCCTCCTTCTTTCCCCGCTCCCTCTGCCGCGACTACGTCGCATTCCTCAAGACCCTTCCACTGCAAACGACCCCCTCAAAGCCCAAGAAGGGAGAGGCGGTCCGCGTCAATGACAGGTTCCAGATCGACGATCCGTTGTTCGCACGGAGACTGTGGGAGACGACTGGACTGAAAGAGGTCATTCTAGAGAATGACACCATCAAAGATCTATGGCGAGTCAACAAGCCCTCTCTCGCCAAACGTGCCCAAGCCATGTATTGCTGACTCGCCCTCTTCGACACCAACAGGGGCGGCCAGCCCGTAGGCCTCAACCCAAACATCCGCATATACCGATACTCCAAGGGCCAATATTTTGACTGCCATTGTACGCACTATCACCAATTGCTAGCAATCCACTCACTGCCGTTTCAATTCTTAGCCAAGTGAACTGAACTTCTGCAGATGATGACTCCAACTATCTGACCCTCGACTCTGAACCCGTCCGCACCACATGGACGCTTCTTCTGTACCTCACTTCCTCTGCCGATGGCTGTGTTGGCGGCGAAACCGTCTTCTATCCTCACGATCGCAAGTCTGCTGCTGAGGAAATTGTCATATCGCTCGAGACGGGCATGCTGCTGTTGCACAAGCACGGCCATGATTGTCTGCTTGTAAGTCGGCCTGAAAGTCAACGCGAGAGTGATCTCGTCTGATCCAGGTCGGAAGGCTAATAAGACTACGCACGATAGCATGAGGGAAGAGAAGTTCAGCAAGGAGAAAAGTGGGTGTTGAGAACTGATTTATGTGTGCGGCGGTAATGCGGCGACACATTTGGGCACATGCGGAGCCAAGAAACCCTGATTTGTCTTCATGTGAAGAAGTCGGGAGAAGTGCTTGCTTCGACACATAATACGCAAGCGAGTGAACAGCAAGACGTGGAAAGAAGCTTCATCGTTCGAAAATGAGAAATGAGAATGCATTGAATACGATTCCTAACATCTGATTGCTTGCAAGTGCAAGACCACTTTCGCAATGTGTCACTATAGAGTTAAAGAAGGAACTGCATCCCTCAGCGAGGCAACGTGGCCTGGGCAAGAAAGCAGAAAACAAACCACTGGCAAGCGGCGTATCGATTCCTCAAAGAAAAGAGAAAAAGCAAATATAGTAGAGCCGTAGAAAGACAAACAAAAGAAAATACCAGACCTTAGAAAGTAGGCCTCAGAAACCAGGCCTCTGTCAGCACCGACTGAAATCATAAAAGGCCTTAGAATAGAACCAAGTCACCGAGTTCCACCAAGAGGCCCGGTTGCTGTGATGCAGTTCCCTCCTCAGAGTCCTGAATCTCAGTCTCCTCGTCATTCTTCGCTGCGCTCTCCTTGGGCTTGACATCCCGGATTCCTTGGTCATCTTCCTGCTGGGTGAGAGGGACAAAAGAGGGCATAGAGACAGGCACTCTTCGATGAGCCGCGGCGAGGATAGAGTCCTTGGGCTTGCACTTTCCATCAGTTGCAATTCGAATCATGACCCAGGGGAAGATCCAGGGGAAGCTGATGAGCGGCATCGATCTGGCCTGCAGCTCTCGGGCTGGTTTCATCACACCAGCCTCGTTCGTTGGTCCGCGGTGATGCTCAAAGAGAGCAATCTTGACCTCCTGCTCCGTAATTTTGTACATGGCTGCCACGAATCTGTCAATCTTGGCCTCGTCATGGCCACCAGCAGCTTCGATGCACGCATCACGGAATCTCTGCTTGACCGCGTCAAACTCTTTGCCGAGGTCTTCCTGCCGTTTGTACTCGCTGCCGAGCGGGGGCTTTGACATGGCCCAGGAGGTATACAGTTCGAATTCCGTCTCCAAGTTGTGGTGCACGAGGATGCGACGTACGGCACCATCGTACTGAGACTTGATTCTTCTGGCGTCCCGGAGCGTTGCGTTGTCCGGCTCGAAGCGGTCGAGGATGCGTCGATCAAAAGCAGTCTCCCAATCTGGTTGGAATTGAATCGACTGCTGCTTGACCCTGTTATAGATGTCTCCAAGGGCCTTGGGCGAAATGTAAGAGTTCTTCTTCTCCATAAAGTGCGGCCACTGCTGCGGGTTGTGCATGGCGGCATTCCACTCCGCAGGCTGGCCGGTCTTTGGGTAGTCGACAGCTTGCGAGTGAAGATCAGCCAGATGCAAACCTGGGGTTTCAGCACGTCAGTAAATGATATCAGAGAGTGGTAAGCAAGCACGCCTGGGGGGGACTTACAGATTTTTGACAAGGGCCCAAGACGATCTGCAAGTGCCAAGTGAGCCGTTGCAATCAGGGGGAGCACGTCGTTTTTCATGTATTTGACAAAGAAGTCACGCAGATCGTCAACATTCACCTCGCGGTCAAGCGTCTCTGGCGAGGGACTGGTATAGTTCATGGCCGGGTGATTCCAGATTTCAGGCAGTAGAGTGGGTTCCCAGATGACAAAGAAGTCATCGCCGTCGAGGTCTCCGCCAGACAGCATGTTGGGAACAGGGCGGTCTCCTGTGGAAGGAAAGACGACGACGTCCTTGAGATGGTGAAGGCCGGGGATATCGACAGCCTCAACGACCCGGATGTCGCCTGGATGCAGCGACGGGTTACGCCCAACCACGCAGAGCCCCTTGACGACATGTGTCTTGTTGTAAATCTTGGAGTCCGACACCTGCAAGAAGATTTGGGGCAGCTTGCTGATGTCCTTGTCCGAAGAGCCTTCCGTCGCGATGAAGTGGCCTCTCAATGTACTTGTCTCGTCCACGCAGCCGAGGACAAAGGCGCTCTTGTCGACGGGAATGCGAGCCTTCTCTTTGAGCAGCTTCAAGGACCAAGACCTCCAAAGACTCAGGAGATTTGCCACAAAGGGTTCTTGAACTTTGTCCGTTTTGAAGCCGGCTTGCAGAAGTTCAGCGAGGATCAGCGTAGATTGATTCTCGTCGACGCAATTGGTCAACATCTCAATCGCCACATCGTTCTTCCCCATTGCTTCTTCGTAGAGACGAATTTGTTCCTCCAAGATGTCCAAGAAGGCCTTTTTGGTCACACCAAGGCATTCCAGAATGGTGATTGTCTGGCGATTGAGAGTGGCGGATGAATATTTGGCGCACTTGATGATTTCAAGATTCTTGACTTCGGCCTTGAACTTCTCCTGAGACTGTCGAATACACACCTCCCCCTTTGTAGCCTGGGGCCAAACTACCAATACACCCTTGCATCCACCCATGCGGAACTGAAATGCAGAAGGCTCGGCATAGACATCCAGAGTCAACTCTTCCATAATCATCTGGGCCATGAAGTCGGATATGATGCCGACTCCGTCAGTAAAGCAGTAGCCATTCCTCTCAACGTCGGGAATGGATCGCACGTCGGGAATGGGAAGGCCGCGCATCTCTCTTGTAGTAGAAAAACACTGGCCCAGCCTGGCAGCGTACTTGGCAACGATTCTGATATGGCCGACCTCGCCCATCCACCGACGGATGTCGTCACAAGAGATGTGATCTGTTGGGCAAAAGAAGTAGGCTCCGCACTGTCTGAGTTGAGAGCTGCCAAAGGCCAGGAACTGGTAATGGCGATCACCAATCTGGATGCCCTGGTACAAGGTCCGAAGAATTTTCTTCCAGACGTCCTCTTTGTTGCGGCAGCTCATGGCCATCCGGCCAAATTCGGTTTCTTCGACAAACTGAACCCTCAGGAAACGGTCCTGAATGTGGTTGAAATACCGCAGGACTCTATTTGAGGTTTCGACAACGGGAGTGCTGAGGAGGATGGTAGTAGGAGTGACGGCGGCTTTGCGTGCCAACACGCAATAGTGGGGGATCCTGGTATTGGGCATATAGGTTGAGGCAGCGGCCCAGTTGAGGAGATCCTTGGGGTCGTACATGACATCTCCCTGGTCTGCAAGAAACTCAAGCCTGCGTTTGGCGTCGAGGGGATCGAGAGCAGCCAGCCCTTGTAAAAACTCCAACGATACCGTGTGTTCGTTGAGCAATCGACGGCTAACGCAGACCTCAAGCTGATATCGGACTCCAAACTCCAGGTGAACAAATGGAAACTTGGACGGCTGGAGGAGAGCTAGGGCATCCCCATCGCTGCTCACATGGTGCTGGTGGTCAAGAAAGTCCCACATCGTCACCGCAGAATGGCTGACGCAAAAGTCGTCACGGACTTGGAGATTGATATTGCGATCTTCAAAGGCGAGTAGAAGATGGCTAGCAGCCAGCTTGGAGGCGTGGTCTGCTTTGCTTAGGACGACGCGCAAGGCGGTCCAGCGGCCAACCTCGAGGAAAGCAGGATCCAAATGGGTGCTGTCTGTAGCCACGGGAAAAGTGAAAGAAAGGGCAGTGTCCTCAGAGATGTCTGTGGCCCTTCGCCACATGTCGATGGCACGCCAGCCAGGTGCGCGCGTGTTGGGGAGATTCCGCTGAGCTTCGTCGTCACACCAATAGTATTGTGGCGGGATGGCGAAGGGGAAGATGAAGACCTCGCAGCCATCTTGCTGGGCGGTTCTGTAGATGGTCTTGGCTTGCGCCAGCTCAGCCAAGATCTTGAAGTGGCGGATCTCGGTGGTGGTGTTCGCATTCTTCTTAACGCGAAGCGGGAACAGGATGATGAGGCGCTTTGCAAGCACATCAACTTCCATGCTGATCGTGCTGCCGCCGGGAGAGGGAATCGACTTCCTGACGTTGATGGAAGTCGGGGCAACCAAGGAGCCCAAGTCCAGTGACGAGAGCCTTGTGGTGATTCGAGCAGGGTACTCGGAGTCGGGTTGGACCCGACTCGCGAGCCACCTCTCGGGGCCCGGCTGACGAGACATTGTTCCAGGCTGTGTCTTTGTTAGCTGGTGTCTGCAAGAAGAAGAAGAGGAAGAGGTCGGGTCGAGAGGGGAGATAAACACTGCACCAGGTCGTCACAAGGCCACGGCAGGTGGCAGCTGCAGAAGGTTAGGAAGAAGGCAGGAGGGGAGGAGGAAGGGGAGGAAGGGGAGGAAGGGGAGGAAGGGAAGGAAGAGCGGCCTTACTTATAGAGAGGTGTGGAGAGGGTTGGAGAGGAAAGAGGAAAGAAGAGGAAGAGGAAGGGAAAGAGAAAGAGGAAGAAGAGGGAAAGAGGAAGAGGAAGAGAGGGGAAAGAGGAAACAGAGCAGAGGCTGCCAGCTGGATAGGCTGCGTGCAGCTGCACAAGTGGAGAAGGGACGAAGGGGTAGAAGGGCCAGGTGCAGGCACAGCAGGCACGGCAGGCACAGCAGCTGCCAGCCGTAGTGCATCACTGTGGCTACCGGCATATGGAAGCTATGAGATTGTTTCATATTGTTCAGGCAGGTCGTCTCCTTGGCTGCTGCAGGTTGTTGATTGATGATGATGGTTCAGGCTGGCTACTGGCATGATCGAGGTAATCCCACATGGACAGGCAGGGCAACTCCTTTGGGTCCTCGGAGGCCTGCATAGTCTGGACGAACAGTCACTGATTATTACATGTTTGTCCAGCTTCTGAAAGCCTCGAGACCTGCAGGGACGCTCATTCGAAAAGGAGGAAATACTTCTGTCGTGGATGTATGCTCGACATGACGCTCACGCCACGAAGAGGATTTCGAGGGTGAAACTCTGACTAGACATGATATTTCGAGTAGTGATACTTGCTGCGATATAGGATACATGTATAGTAGATCTTATTGCATCTAGTATTTCTATGTGGATGTGATTCAGCTGTTATATGCACCTCTATCTGCTATCTATATATGGAACACTCCTGAGGAGCCTCACAGCCGACACAAGTAAACTGCCCATCTACCTTATGCATCGACATGGCCCTTCTGCTTCTCCCACGGCACGTCCATGATCTTGCCCGGATTCAAGATCCAACGCGGGTCAAGCGACCTCTTGATGGCGGCCATGACTCCCACCGTCTCGGAGCCAACCTCCCACAGCAAGCTCTCCTTCTTCCCCCATCCAACGCCGTGCTCTCCCGTGCAGGTGCCCTCCATCTCAATGGCCAGACGAACCATGTTCTTGACGCAGGCCTCGACCTTGGCACGCTCGCTCTCGTCCTGCTTGTTGTACATGATGCTCTCGTGGAAGTTGCCGTCGCCAATGTGGCCCAGAATGCTGGCAAACAATCCCAGTTCGTCCATCTCCTTCTTGCTGACCTCGATAATGTCCGCCAGTCGACTAAAAGGCACGGCCACGTCCGTGCTCCCTATCGAGAAGAATGGTTAGAGCCTCAAACGTGTCGATATCCAAATGCAAAACCAAGGCTGTAAACTTACAAACATCGTCGCCCTCCTTTCTCAGCGCCAGCATCGACCACAGAGACTCCTTTCTGGCAGACCAAAGCAGCTTTTGCTCCTTCTCATCTTTGGCGAATTCAAAGTTGCCCCCCTTGTTGGCTGCTGTAATCTTCTGCACCATCTCGACTTGCTCTTGGACTCCGGCTTTGGTGCCTGCGAATTTGAAGAAGAGCGTGGGCTTCTCAACCCAGACTCGGGGCGCCGTGAAGCCGCTGAGGTTGACGACTCGCATCTGGACCTCGTCCATGATCTCGAGACACTGCACCGGAATGGCAGCTTGCATGACGCTGGCGGCTGCTGATGCGGCGTGGCGAATGCTGGGAAAATTGACAACGGCCACAGATGTCTCTTGCGGAACAACGGCGAGCTTGAGTGTTGCTATAGTTGAGCCTTGTCAGCTTCCGATCTGGTGAGTTGGCTTCTCCGGGCTTTGGTATCCTTACCCTCAGTTACAATGCCCAGGGTGCCTTCGGAACCCACAAAGAGGCTGTTGAGATTGTATCCCGCAGACGACTTGCGAGGCCGTCTGCGCGTCTTGATGATCTGGCCATCGGAAAGGACAACGGTCAAATTGATGACCCAGTCCTTCATGGTGCCGTATCGAACCGCATTGGTCCCTGAGCAGTTGGTGCCAATCATGCCGCCAATCTTGGCAGTTGGGCCTGGGGCAAGTCAGCGGAGTGACAGAGAGAGAAGGAGATAGTTTGTATTGGTCGAGACAAACCGGGGTCGACTGGGAAGAAAAGACCGGTGCCCAACTTTGCGAGCTCAGCGTTCAGATCTTGCCACCCAACACTGGGCTGCACGACGACATCCATGTCGGCCTTGTTGACCTGAATGATGTTGTTCATGAAGGCAAAATCGATGCTGATGCCGCCATAAGGGGCAGAGAAGTTGCCCTCGAGACTGGTGCCTCCAGAGTAAGGGATGACTGGGACGCGGTGGCGGTGACAGACTCGCACGATGGTGGCAACCTGCTCGGTGTTTTGAGGATATGCCACGGCTACTGGGAGCTCGTCGGGGTTTACACTCGACCAGCTAGAGTAGCCGTGGGCAAGCAGGTCCTCTGGATCCGTGGAGATGATGTCTTTTTGGTTGCCGAGCTCCCATACGATGTCTGAGATGGCCTAGATGAATGTGATTCGGCTGGTTAGGGGGTGTATCTTGCAACGCTGGGTTTGTCTGACTCTAGTCCGGTCTGTGCTCTGAATATCTCAGAGTGGTATGTTGCTGTCTGGACTCACCTCCTGCATCTCGGCACGGCTGGCGAAGCCTATTTCCGCATCGTCATCGGCCACATGGGGAAGGCCTTCATGCCTCCGCTGCTCCGTTCTGTCATCGCCATCATCGCGCCTGTCCTCATAGATGCTGGTCCTGCTCTTGGTTGAAGTCTTATGCTTGGGAGAAACGAGGCTCGAGAGACCCCAGCCACCGATGCCTGCCACCGCCGCGATAGCTAAAACACCACCACTAGACCAGCCTGAGGATGTTCCGGGGGTGCTGCTAGAATGGGAACCTGAGTCGCTATTCGAGCCAGAGCTAGAACTCGTCGCTGTTGATGATGATGATGATGATGATGATGAAGCGAGCACTTTGGGGGTGACGCGATAGCCCCGGCAAAGGTAGGGAGCTCCTGCAGGTGTAGGTAGAGCTGCAGCTGCAGCCACAACAGGTCTGGCCAGGCCATGCAGCTTCACTCTGGACGCTCTGGTGTTGGCAGCAGTGGCCAACGAAAGGGACCGTGCCCGGATGAGAGGTCGAGCAGGCATCTTGAGTCTGTTACCTTTGGTTGGCTGTGGTGCCCCTAGGAATGCTGGTTACTCAAGGTGCAGATGGTGAGCGGCAGTTGGTCATGAGTTTGCATCCTACCTCTTTGTTGTCTTTCCTCAGTCACGGCAGAGCCTCAAAGAGCTACGGGCAACAGATTGCAGGCATTGGAGACGGAAAAAATCCAATTATGATGCGATTATTAAAATCCAGCGGTAAACCCTGGGCAGAGCACCTTGTACAGCCGAGGATCACAGCCTACTACCTACCTGCAAGCGACCCCGCTGCCAATCCCACCTCCTCTCTCTATTCTGCACTAGGTAGGTAATAAGACGACGATGTTTGTGTTACCAAGTCAACGAAAGCAACAAGCGTCAGCATACTAATGTATGCTTACTGATATGCCTCGATAGTATGTATATCTATTTGACAAGCGCATAAGTTAGGAGCTGTTGGTGACCATTTCGTAGGCGTGATGTGTTACTTTATGATCGAGTGGTACATATGATGGCCATGCATGAGCGTTGCGAGACATCAACCTGTTGACAGAGGACACAATTGACGGGCTGCATCCAACACGGCTCTCGGCATGCGTCTCTGGTCACCAATCATCACCAATATATGGGTCGAGGCAGCAACTCCGCACACGAAGCAGCGCCTAGCCGCGATATCCCCAGTCACCAAGTGCCAGTTGATGCGACGTGCTATGATGCTTCAATATTTGACAATCTCACGTACTGGAGGTTTTACCTATCGATGGTTGTGTTAATGAGATGCATGCATGTACTAGCAATGTACAGGACGTGTCAGTATGCGTGTGCTTCGCATGCAATGCAATCTGAGATTGCCGGAACTTCGAGCTGGTCAGGTAGCACAGCATAGGTACCGCAAACCATTTCAGAGCTGCAGAAGGCTTCGGAGAGGTTGCCGAGACCTAGCCGTGGCACCGAAACCGAGATGAAAAATTGGAGGACAAAAGAACATGAAATCGTTGCGGCAAGTTGATGAATGGGATGAAGGAAAACCCCTCTGTGAGCAAAGTATTGGTGGTCAAGAAGCACTACTACTAACGGGTGAAGACGACAGATTGTCACACTGGGGCAGGTGGCCCGTCCTCAAGACGGAAATAAGAAGAAGCCATCAAATCACCTACCTCAAGTGGCCTTTGACTTCGCAATCGGTTTGAAATTGAGCCGCGAAAGACAAGCAGTTACCAGGTCTTCGGGATGACGAACTACCGCTTGTGAGCCTCCATCAGCCCTAGGTGAATCTGAACCTATTTTGGCTCCTAAATGAGTTTGGATCATGACGGGTTCAGCCGCCAACCCTCTACTACTATGGGCGTTGTTATAATAGTATGACCTTGATATTCGGAGACTATTCGGCGTGTGTCTGCAATACAACCACTACCTTACCTTAATCCACAAGAAACCGGATACGGACAACGGACAAATGCAAGTGATGAGGCCCGCGTAAAGTGCCAGCATGGCCACTACGACAGAGCGAGCATAGCACGAAGCATGGCTTGCACCTCGGCGACGGCCTGTCGGGTTCCAAGACCCTTCCGTGAACATAGGGGACAAGGGGACGGGAGAGAAGAAGAAGGAAAGCAAGTGAAAGAGAGAGAGAGAGAGAGAGAGAGAGAGAGGCCAGGTCATCACGCCTCCAGCCGAGACTCGGAGACCCGCACAACCTCCGGTGTGATCCTCCGAGAGTACTGCGAGGTACCCCGCCATCAGGGTTCCAGCTGCTATGGAATACGGTTCTCACAAGTACTACTAGGTAGTAACCTACTATTTCCTGTAGAGAGACTCGGCTTTCTACTGAAAACCAGGATGCAGTTGATGTTGATCAGGACTTACTTGGGGCAGAGAAATTCCAAAGAGAGGGATTTCAGAGCTTACCAAGGATGGCCATTACTTGCAGGGATATCCGAGCTCAGCTTCAACTTCTGCTTCTTTCTGCTTCTTTCTCTTTGTGTGATCTCATCTGTCTGAGACACCACCTCATGCGCGACCCGCTAGGTCAACGACAACAAACTTGATCCTCAGCCGCACCCGCATCCAAGACATGATGATGGAAAAACATAGAGTCATATCATATCAATGCCTACCTACACCCTTTCTGCATCTACATACTCCGTACACTCCCCACCATCTATCGTGGCCACGGGATGGCAATATTTCAGCCCCAATACTAGTACCTACTTTACGACAAGTAGTAGCAGCAGCAGCAGCAGCAGCTCTACAGTATGCAAGGGGTAACCGGCCATCTCCTTGCAGCACCAACTTGCTAGTACTAAACCGAGGGCTTGTTCTCCCGCCGAGGTCCGCATCGCGCCATGCCTTGTCAAATTCCAAATAGGACCACAACCGGCCGCCATTACTACCTAGGTACCTACTGCATCATCGCCGGCGGAAGGACCCGTCAATATATCGGTATTAGCAGGCGATACCACACCCCAGCAGCTACCTTAGTACCTACCTAAGGTAGTGCATAGTGCTGCTAATGTACATGTAGGTTGGTAGGCACTTCACTTTGCAGCAGGTGGAATGTCTACCTAGCAGGTATGCCGTGGGGACTCGCAGGTATCCAGCATGTGTCCATAGCAGGTGGGTATGTGGGTGGGAGCCTTACTCGAGCATACATACTACTACGTCCTGCACGTCCGTCATTGATATGCATATATATTGCCTGCCGGCAAGCATCCAAACTAGATTCTCTTTCTTTTTCGATACTCACTCACCAACCTACACGATCTAATCCACACATCCTCTTTCACTCAAGGTATATATATTCAACAACCTGTGGTATGGCTGCTTCTCCCCCACCTCTCCCTCTAGACTGTCTTCAATCAACTTTTCCTGCCCAGTCTTCTTCAACCACCCCTCCAATTGACATACACACAACGTTACTGACAATTCATCTTGTTCTCAAATTGCTTCAGCTTCACAAATACACTCAGATATCTCATATCAACCGCGTCAACCCACCACAATGTCTGTCCTCGAAGTCGGCGACTCTTTCCCGGACAACGTGTCCTTCACCTACATTCCCTTTACTCCCGAGAGCAAGGACATTACCAGCTGCGGCATCCCCATCAAGTACAACGCCAGCGAGGGTAAGGCTCTACATACCTGTTGACTCTTTGTCAATCATGCCTGCTAATCATGTTTCCGATTTCAACCAAAACAGAGGTCAAGAACAAAAAGGTCGTCATCGTGGCCGTGCCCGGCGCCTTCACGCCCACCTGCCAGGCCAGCCACCTGCCCGGCTTCATCCAGAACATTGACGCCCTCAAGGCCAAGGGCGTTGACCAGGTTATCGTGATTGCCTCCAACGACCCGTACGTCATGTCCGCCTGGGGCAAGGCCAACTACACCAAGGACGACTTCATCGTGAGTTTCCACCCCGGCTTGTCTTGCCATGTTGGTTTGCTTGCCTACTTGTTTGCTTCCTCGTCCAAACCCCCCCAATGGATATCCTTTGTTATTTTTTTTTTCTTTACCCCTCCTTGAGACAGGGTGCTCATTCTCTTCCACTCCTCTCTTGATTTCCTCTCTGTGGGACAATTAGCTAATACAAGAGCGATAAAAATTCTGTTCGAATCCAGATCTTCGCTTCGGACTCGGAACTTGCTTTCAGCAAGGCCATTGGCTGGACCCAGGGCGATCGAACTGCCCGATATGCCATCGCCGTCGACCACGGCAAGGTTGTCTATGCCGCCAAGGAGACGGAGAGAGGCGTCGACGTCTCGGGAGCCGAGGCCGTCCTGGCCAAGCTGTAAAAAGCCTGTTTTTCTTTCTAAATCCTTGTCCCTGTTATGAAAAGGGAAAAGGAAAACAGTAAAAGAAAAGAAAGGAAAGGATGAAAAAAACGGACACTTGCGGAGAATGAGGTGTTTTCTGGGTAGGTATTCAAGGGTATCATCATCGAGGGACTAGATAGATAGCGCCATTGAGGAGTCTAATGATTTCATTCGCACTGGTTGCTTCCGGAGCCGCTTCTGGATTCGTATTCGCTTTGGTGAGGTTGCGGTGACGTTGATGGCGAGAGAAAGAGATAGACATCCATTGTCATGGAGGCAAATTAGAGACATACAAGACGCTCATTGGGATGGGCAAGAGACGAAAGACGGTCTTTGTGATGAAGAAGAAGAAGAGAATCAAAGGAATATCGAGATCATATAGACCGACTCGTTTCGAAAGAATTCGGCAGCATCACATCGGAAAGAGGGTCCCCAAGTCTCACGCTCGGCCTGTATCATGACTTTGACGGGCTTGTTTTGTGTTGTTTGTTTCGCAGCAACAGGTCCCATACACGTAAACCCATTGCACCGGTATGTCATTTGCTCAACTACCAATGCACCCTATGGCATTCCATGCACCCGATATGTGTAGAAGAACCGGCCGGAAAGAGACAAGAACCACAGACTCCAGACGTTGTTTCATTTTGCTCATCCGCTGCGCTGCACACACACAACCATCGTCCCGTCATCCGTCGCCGCCATCGGATGCCCAAATTTTATACCCCTTTCGTCCTCCAACGCGCGCCTTCAACTTCAAGACGCTTAGCGGGATCGGGCAGCAACCTTAACCTGCGCACCCTTGGCGCCCTGCTTGCTCACGTTTCGCTGGGTCTGGCCCTTGGCGGCGGTGGCAGCGTTCTTGGCCTTCTCGGCCTTCTTGGCAGCCTGGGCAGCGGCCTTCTTCTCCTTGTCCTGTCGGATGGCCTCGGCGCGGGCGGCAGATCGGGCCTCGGGGCGCATAGACCGGCGCTCCTTGATGACCTCGAGGGAAGCACCAACGATGGCTCGCTGGGACTTGACGGCACGGCGAGTGCGCTTCTTGGCAACCTCCTGCAAAGGGTGTCAGCTGCTGTCCATGTTGCTCTGTTCCTCTCCCAGGTGCTCTCGCGCGCGATGGGCATGTAGAGGCGAGGTCGTTGGTGTAGATGCATCTGCATGTCGACATGTCGAGGCATGAACAAGCCAGAGCTCCATTGACCCGCATCCCTCTCTCTCTCTCAACATTGCCTCCATCGTCGCGTCGGGGAAGGGAAAAGGCGGCTGTTCGTTTGATCATCGTACCTCAGAGATACCCTTGCGGTGCTGTCGTCGGTACAGGACCGTCCAGGCAATGCGACGGGGGTTCTTTCGCTGGAGGAAAAGTGACTCGGACTTGCCGTTCACAAATCGGAACACCTTGCTGTCGCCACGGACATAGATCTTACCCTGTTGAGGAGAAGAAAAGAGCAGTTAGCAGCCGTAGAGTATGAGCGGTCTTGACGTTTGCTTGGCTTGATTTCCGCCCCCAAAGAGTGAGAGCAGTATGCGAGCAGAGATCCCCTTTCGATATGTGGTAAATGGTGTTTCCTCCCAATGCCGTCATGCAGCGTTCTGCCCGTTCGTCCTCCCATCGTGATTCCATCCATCACGTATCCCTCGTCGATGCCCTCCCGTCTCTTCGGTCGTCGTATAATCGTTCCCAGTTCATCATTCCCCTCCCATGACGTCGCATATCCCCCAAGCTCCAAGTCCAACAGGGCAGAAACCAAGCAAAAGCGAGGACGAGAGAAGGGCAGCAGCGTACCTTTCCAGGGTAGATCCTCTGGCCGGAAAAGCTGTCTTCGTAGGTACGCATCTTGCCGCGTTGTGTGGGTTGTTGGCGACAAGGTGTATCGTCGGGATTTGGCGTTTGAGCAGAAAAATGATGGTGAGCAGCCGGGTCGCTGGGATAGGTTCAATTTCACGAATTGGTCGCTGTGTGGTCAAAATGACTAAGCCGGGCCTAGGGCAGGCGTTTGTGCGCGCCAAAATCTCGGCAAGTGGGTAGCGCACGTGACTTTGCTCATGCCGCCCATTGGTGGGGGTTTTTGGGAGCAGAGCAGAGCAGCAGAGACCAGAGACAAGCAGCAGAAAGGGACGGCGGTACGGATACGGATACCAGAACTCCAATTGCCTGATTCGGCGCCTCCAATTTATCCCTCCGAAATGTCCTGCGATGCTTCGACTTACAAGTACTACCTAGGTATACGCACTCCATTATAATACTAAGCTGACGAGGACCAAACCTTGTTGTATCGCATAATAATGGACTCATAACCACTAGGACAAACGTATGACCTACTCAATCAGATAAATGACGTCTCGCGCAAATCTCATTGCGCGCACCGTCATCAGCCAGTTCGATAAGCTCCCGTCGAAAAGAAAGCCCTGTGTTCGCGACAATGGCCTCAACGAATGGGTGCCCCTGAGCGGCATCGTTGCCGAAAGCAATGGGGTTTTGACCTGCCTAGCACTAGCGTGAGCTTGATCTGAAGTTTCCACAATCATTTGAAGTTGCCCAACCCGTTCTAACATGACAAGTATAGGACGGGCATGAAATGCCTCCCGGCGTCAAAGCTCACCGAGGCCAAGGGCGTGGCCATCCATGACTGGCATGCTGAGATTCTCGCTATTCGAACATTCAACCGGTTCCTGCTGGATGAGTGTCAGACTCTCGTTGAAAGTCTGAACAATGAGCATGAGAGCATCCTCCAGAGACATGATTCTAAGGATGATGTCGATCCAACAAGCAGACGATGCACGAGACCCTTCAAAGTAAAGGAGGATGTGAAGCTTCACATGTATTGCTCCGAAGCTCCGTGTAAGTTTTTCAAATTATCCTGGATGCGGTCTTCTGAATGCCTTGATGAAAGGATCGTATAGCTCATTATCAACGTTAGGTGGAGATGCCAGCATGGAACTCATCATGGCCGCTCAAGCAGACGCCTCACCATGGCAGCTCCCAACTCCTCCAAAGCCAGTATCAGCCAGCACGTCTACAAGCCTGGAAGCAGACTCTACAGCTCAGCTTCCCGGACGAGCGTACTTCTCCCAGCTGGGCATCGTTCGCCGCAAACCCGCCCGCGGCGACGCTCCGCCCACCCTGTCCAAATCCTGCTCAGACAAGATCGCCCTGAGGCAGTGCACATCGCTTCTCTCATCACTAGCCTCGCTCTTTGTCGACCCAGCAAACGCCTACATCGACACCCTTGTTCTCCCAGAGTCGCAGTACTCCGCCGCTGCGTGTGAGCGGGCCTTTTCGCCCACGGGCAGAATGAAGGCCGTGGCTGACAGGCAGTGGCCCGGCGGGTACGCTTTCAGGCCGTTCAAGGTCGAGGCCACGGACGTCGAGTTTGCCTTTTCCAAGAGGGCGGTTCAGGCTCACTCCGAGGCCATCTCGGCGAGCAATCTTGCGGCAACGTGGTCGGCCTCTGGCTTTGAGGAGTCGATTCTGGGGGGCGTGCTTCAGGGGAGGAAGCAGTTTGCCGTGAGGGGCGCAAGCAAGTCCTCCAGACGACAGATGTGGATGAAGTCGAAGCAGCTCTCTGAGGGCCTCTCGGCTGCCGCTCCTACTCCTGGGTCGGACAGTAATGCTGAAAACGTCCCCGATACGGATCGTCATCGAGCACTCCAAGAGTATCTCTCATCAGCAAGTAGCTACCAGGACATCAAAGATGGGCGTTTGTTGACTGATAGGAGGCACGTCAAGGCTCAAGCTCGAGAGCTTGCGCTCAAGGGCTGGATCCAGAACGAAGGAGACGCCGACTTTGGCATAGCATAGCAGATAATCAAAACGATGCCTGTTCGGGGCAGCACTGCAGGCAGTAGAGCTTCACGTCGTTCCGGGTATCAGAGGTTGGTCATTTTTTTTTCTTCATTGTATCCGGATACAGATTGGCCTCTTTGTACAAACCCCTTGCTCCCCCTCATCCCTTGTTTTGGCGTCCATCATGACAAAAACTGACGTTGCCGCAATTCCCTATCCCACGCTCAAATGTGCACAATCCGGTGGGTATGAGCGTACCCGAAATCATGATGGTAATGATAACAAAAACACCAATTGGCAACACGCAGAAATCCTGCCCAAGGAGAAAAGAGAGTGTCCATTTCTTGTCCTCTCCGTCCCGACCAGTCCCTCGGCTCGTGAAAACCAATTCGTCGTCGTCCCGCTGCTCGGAGGTTGTAACGTAACGACAGCTAAAGAAGAAGAAAGAAAAGAAAGGAAAAGGATAGTCGAAAAAACCCAGACATGCATGCCCCCCCGCCGCCAGAGATAATCACTTTCAGCTCTCAGTTTTGCATCCGGTTACAAAATACATGCCTTTGTTATTTTTGCTTTTTCTCTTTTTTTTTCTTCTCTTTCTCTGTTTTTGCAAGGTTCAAAACAGAACCTTACTCGACCTTGCTCTCAAAGTTCTCGCCTTCGACCAGGTCGGGGATCTCGTCGTCATCCTCGCCCTTCTCGGCCTTCTGCATGTTCTGGTAGCTCTCGGCGAGCTTGCGCAGGGAAGCCAGGGAGTCGGGGCCGAGCTGGTTGAGGATGCCGGGGACGAGCTCGGTGAGCTCCTTGTCCTCACCGTTGCCGTAGATGGCGAAGGTGTTGGACTGGACGGCGGCGTGGACTGCGAACAAAGAACCAGGTCAGCATCTCGTCGCTATGCGATTGTGTCGTCGTTTGCTTTTGCTTATTTGTGTGGGTTATTGGGGTGGCACAGCCGGAGGCTGCTTGTGACGGAATATGACAAGGGAGGGGAACGTACCCTTAGGAGCGGCGAAGTGGATGACGTTGCCGTCGGACTTGAACATGTTGACCTCCTCGATGGCCTGGATGGGCTGGGTGTTGAGCTTCTTCAGGTTGGCCTGGAGCTTCTTGTCATCGTTGTTGGAACGGGCGGGCGCGCGCTTAACCGGTCTTCGGGGGGTTCCCTTTCCACTGCACGGCGCAACACGTCAGTTGATCAGTTCGTCATCGGATCAGGTTGGTTCGCAAGCATTCTATCGAATTTCGAAGCGTAGTGGGATTTTTCGCGAGCAATTCTGTGAGGAGGGGCTGGTGGAGGAGGGGGGGGTTGCGATGGTGGTGGTTGGTAATTGGCGACGACGTAATTAAACATACCCTGCGAAGAGACGAGGCGTTAGATGACGGTTCCGATATCAAACAACAACAGAGATGCATAGATGAGTGCATCAATTCAATCATAACACGTACCGATTCGGCCGGCCTGGCCAAGCTTCTTGAGGCGCTCCTGGACGTCGGACATGATGCTGGTGTGTTGTGCGGAAGGTTGACCGAACTAGGGGTGGGAAATGCGGGGGGGGTTGAGGTCGAGGAGCTACATTTTTCAATTTCGCCTTGACATCAGTTTCTCTCATTTGCCATTGTATTTCGCCGCACCAGGGCTTCGAGCTTGGGCGGGGGTGGAAAGGGCCGGCAGAAGAGCCCCTCACAAAATTCGAAGATAAACTCGACGTACCGGAGGTTTGAGCTTCGAAAAAAAGGGGGGTCAGAGCTGGTCTCTGTCGGTTTGTTCTGGTCGTCTCGCCGTCGGCTTTCGTTCGAGTATGAGCAATGGTTCAAGCGGCAAGAGTAGGTTTTGTGCGTGCCAAGACTTTTTTGCGCGCCGCGGATTATCTGTTTAGCCGAGCGCTCTTCGTAACGATGCCCTCATCGCTCAACCTGATGCTTACCTACCTACCTATGTACTAACCTACCTACCTACCTGGCCTTACTTGCTACGCCAAATTATTGCAGCTGCGATGAATTTCGCCGAATCTTGCCTTAATCTCGTGACTCACTGCCTGAACTTGTCTGATGCTTCTATTCGAATCAGTATGCTTTCAAAATGAGACGCTCTCAGGATTCCTGTTTTAAGACTACCTTACTATCCGCAGTTGACTTAGACTACGCTATTACCATCTTCGGGGCTGTCATAGCTGAGCTAAGCAAGAGCTGCGCAACAACATAGGAAGCTCCTGATACCTCTAGGTACGAAAAGACATGCAGACTGCACGCACACATGTATATGTATAGAATTGAGGAATCAGCTGCCCGTCAAGTCTCGTTCAATACTCAGTAACATGGTGTCCATCAAGCACATCCATCCTGATGCGAAATATACAGTCGCAGCAAGGTCAGGAGCATTAATGAAAACTGTTTAATAGAGATGTCAGGGGTATATTCAGTTTGACACATCTAACCAACGTGCTGTAGTAATCATCGTAAAAAGAGAGCATTTCATCATCTCACATCATACCTAAGGAACGATCATCATTTTTCACACAGCAAAACCCCTCCCTGTTACAATCTTCAACCACCTACCTACCGCCCTAACCCCCTAACCCACGATTTACCAGCTAGTCGGCCCAATACCAGGACCGCTGGTTGGCGCAGCCCTCAAGACGGCCGCGCCCTGGGCATCCAGGTTGTTGTTGATCACAGTGTTTCCCCACCAGTCGGGGAAGGTGGCATTGCCCAGGCCCAGGCTCAACCCGACAAGGACCGTGCAGAGAGCAGTCCCGATGTCGAGAGCACCAGACAGGACGTAGTTGTACTGAGTCCACCAGCCAAGCCAGCGTCTTCGGACCCACCAGTTGAAGATGAGGCCGACAATGCACCACTGGGCGAGATACCAGGTAGTCGCCGGAGGGATCATGCCGGCAGCTCCAAACAGCGCAGGGAAGACAACGTAGCGCAGCATAGAGCGAGGGTAGCGGCGGGCAAGGATCCACTGGATCAAGGGGCACAGGAAGCCAATCAACCAGAACCAGTTGGTCCAAGAGTATCTAAGATTCAACAGTCAGCCCATATTCTCTTCTTTTGCTGCCTTCATACTCCTTCTCTCGGAGCGTGAAACCCAAAACACTTACAATTGGCCAGCACCAAACACCAGCTTGGGACCAATCACACCCCAGATCACGCTGGCGTTGTAAAAGGTACGAGCATTGGGGCAAGTAAGTCCCTGAGGCTGGTCAGGGGTGCAGATGCCATCGATATTGCCAAGCAAAAAGTTGTAGGCAGCAATTTGCACAATCGAGAGCCAGATGACAGCAAACGCCTGAGCGCCAAACATGCTGCGGGGAGGGATCTTCATGTAGTGACCGACTTTCATGTCAGACACATACGTGAGGCCGTTGTAGGTCATCATGTAACCCCAGGACTTGAACAGCATCATGGCCACGGGGCGGCCCGGAAGCATGTAGCCGAATATCATCTCGGTAATGATGTTGAGACCGGTTTGCTGGTTTGTAATGGCTTGAACCATGCCCACGGGGATAAAGAAGAAGAGACCAATGATAATACACAAGATGAAAGCCCAAGCAGGAAGATGCGTTGGCCATGCCAACGAAGCAGCCATGCCGAGTCCAAACGAACCAGCGAAGATGCTTATGAACCACCACTCAGGTGCTTCACGATACTTCTGCATGAGTTTCATGTGAATATCAGGTTCCTCAGATCGTGAGTCGACTGATCGACGCCACACATCAGGGCCATAGAACAGGGCAATGTGTGTAATGGTCGAGATCAGACCAGCAAAGCCCATGCCGTAGGACAGCGAGAAGGCAGGGCCCAGCAGAATTGGGGAATACTCCCTATAGGCCGTCAGGTTGACGGTATAGTCGGGGTTGAGGATGCGGCTCGTGTTGTAGGGCTGAGCGTAGTGGTCAAAGTTCTGGTTGGCACTTAGGGGGAGATAGCGGTAGAACTCGGGACCCGCATAGGCAAGGCCAATGATTCCGAGAAGCATCACGAAGATGCCGGCCGCAACGTTGGCAATGGCGAAAGCCGGGGTCTGGAGAGGAGAGAGCAGGAAACCCGAGATGATCGACCAATCAAAAGAGATGGGCAGTAAACCGAGGCCAGTATTGCCACCGAAGACCATGTTAATCGCGACATTGTCTGGGGCACACCAGACGGGAAACATGAAGAGCTGAAGGAACTGGGCAATGACTTGAGGAACCCATTCCCAGCAAAAGGTGCCGGCGGCGACGATGAGGAAGAAGCTGTATCGACCAATCTTCCAGCCGTTGGTCATGGCGGGGTCAGCGGCAGAATGGTCATGCAGAGAGTACATGACGGTGGTGGTGATGAGCACAGCCGGCCAGACCATGGACGAGGGCCAGACGAGAAACCGTCGAGCAACGCCGGCGACACCGAAGCCCATGGCTTGCGTGGATAGGATGAGGAGAATCTGGAAGCCCCAGCCGAGCTTCTGGTCGTAGAAGATCTCCTGAGCCAACAGGATGTCGATAGCATAGGAAGCAGCAGTTCCGGCGGCCGTCATCATGGTGATGATGGTGTGTTCCTTGACGTTGAACGGACCGGGATTGAGCTCGAACTTGTGGCCAAAAATAGTGAATGTGTAGTTGGGCATAACACGAGCCCAGAAGCAACCAACCCTACAACGTCGTCGGTCAGTGATTGTCGCCTTTCGCTTGGACGAAGACAGCAGCTTACGGATAAGAAACCAACTGCACGACGGTAGACGTGATGGTGATGGGGGCACGGCGAAGGGTGAGCAGGATGTTGCAGGCGGCCACAATTGTGCACATGACGGCGCCAATGACCCAAGCTCGGATGGTGTCGACCGGCATATCCTCATCTGTAGGGGGCACCTGGATTCACGTTTGTGTGAGTCGAATGGCAACAAAGGGGACAGAGATGCTATGCAAAGCGGCGTAATGGAGGGCATACCGAAGCGCGAACTTCCGGGTAAGGAGAGTCCTCTTGGATAAGAGACTCGTCAATGGCCGCCTCCTTCTCGACATTGCCTGAGGCCAAGG